AGGGGGACCTCCAGAGCAGCCCTGGCTGGAGGTGGTGGGGACATCTGTGGCCAGATGGAGCAGAGGAGGACACCGGCAGGGACTGTTTTGATTGCTTACATTTGCACAAGGATGTCTCCCAGCTGACTGGGATGCAGCCAGGCAGGAAGGCCCGTGAGCACAGGAGCAGGAGAGGGCCGTGCCTCAGCTTCCCCAGGAGCCCACCTGGTGGCCCTCGCTGCTCCCTCTGAGGCTTTGCTGGCCCCAGAGAGAGGGAGGGCCTTCCCAGCCTTGGGCACCTGCTGGGCTGGGCCAGAGAGAAGGTTTGAGGCTAGGTTCTGGGCTGGCCCTTTTGGGAGCTGGAGGATGCAGGCCCTGGAGGCCTGCTGGGTGTGACTTTGGACTGGAGTTTTCCCTGTTCTTCTTTCTGCCTGTCACTGGATCTGCTTTTTCAGGGAAACAGGCCCCAGGGGCCCTGAGCCTCAGCCTAAGCCCTTAGGCCCCTGGGGGCGCGCTGGGCTCTATTTATTTATTTATTTGTTCATCTGTCCCTGATGCCTACAGAGCTGAAGCCAGGGCTTATTCTTGGCTGTCAGGCACTTCCATACCATTTAGCCTCTGGATCATCCTGGCCGGGAGAAGCGGGCAGCGCCACCCAGCCCCTCTCCCAAGCAGCCTTTCGAGCCAGGACAGGAGGAGCGAAGCTTCTCTTTTATGTGTCTATTTATTTTGTGTGTGTGTACTTGTGTGGAGGAGGTTGTTTGTGGCTTTATTTTTTTAAGGCTCCGGAGTGTTGTGTATGGTTTCTCTTCACATCCCAGCCTCCCCGTGAGCACTTCCAGGAAGAGAGGGGATTTCTCAGAAAAGGAGAGAGAAATCCCCTAGAACGGGAGGGCAGTGGCTGCCAGCTGTGGACCTTAGGAGAAATAAATAGCCTCTAAATTTTCAGCCTTCCTGTCTTGTGTTGATTGATTAGGCTGTCTCCGTGGAAACCGGGAGTCTCCCGGCTCTCCAGCATTGTGGTGGGTAACACACACCGGGCCTCACCTATTGGCCTCAAGTCTTCTTCCTCTAGGTCCTACATTGAACAAGGGATCAGCTGCTTTGCTCAGCCTATGTGAGAGGGCACCTACCTCCTCCTGCCCTCCTGGAGTGCTGTCCAACAGGCGGGGAAGGAGATTTTCTTAGCTCGGAGAAGATCAGCAGCTGGAGGCCTGGACAACAGCAGTCTTGCCCAGAGGTGGCCAGGAGAGGGCAGCATACTCCTTAATTCTTAGGTTCAGTCCCTAGGGGCCTCTGTTGGCCTTAGTGTGGCCTTATCTGCTCTGTAGCCAGAGCTGGAGCAGGGCCTTAGCATAGAGGCCAGGCCCTCTGGCTGCGTCTCCCACTCCTGGCAAGTTAAGGGCACCCGCAGAAGGCACCGGGTTCCTGGCAAGAACACTGTGGGAGCTTGAGTCTCCCTAAAAGGAGAAAGATGCTGGCTGCCAGCATTTTAGAAGCAAGAGGGTGGGGAGAGCACCTACCCCAAAGTCCTGGCCTGTAGTGAGTGTACCTGTGGCCAACTCCCATCCTTCCCGCCCCCTCCCAGGGCACCCGTTTCCATATCTGTAATACGGGATGGGTGCAGTAGCTGCTAATTTCAAAGGGCTCTGACATTCTGTGGTTCTGTAGGTCTGAGAAGTCAAAAGTTTAGCTGCCTCCATGAGGGGACTCCAGGAGCAGGGCCAGGCCCTAACGAGCCCAGAAAGGGCACTATGCTGGTACCAGGAGCAGGGCAACATTTTTGTTGTTGCTAATCCCACTGGAGGATATTTTTTCGTTCCTTTTTCAGAGAGGGAGGGAGGGAGAGCAAGAAACAACGTGAGAGAGTCATATCCACTGGTTGTCTCCTGCACTCCCCCCGACCAGGGCTAGGGATCAAACCCGCACCCCAGGTACATGCTGTTGATCAGGTGCGTAGGCCAAGGCTCTAACCACTAAGCAACGCCAGCCAGGGCAGGAGTTTCACCAGGTGACCTCACGGGGCCTCCAACAGTGTCATTCCTGGACCCTGCACCCCCCCCCCTTTCCTCCCAAGCACATGCACATCTCCCTGGGGGGGACTGGAAGGGAGGCTGCCTGGCTGGGAGCCCACATTCCTGGGCCCTAGGTGGGGGCTTTCCGCTCCAAACTGCAGACGTTTTCCACATTCCTCCCCAAGGTCAGGCGCCTTCTCTGTGCTGGCTTTTAATGCCACTGCAGCCACAGTCCGCCCTGAAAGGGAGGGGGGGCAGAGGGGCAGGCTGCATTCTCAGCCCGTCCTGAGGCTGCAGGCCCGGCAGTGCAGGAAGAGGGGGAGGTCAGCCTCAGCTCTGGTCACCTGCAGAAAGGACCACTACGCCCCTTTGCCTTTTCGTGATAACGGGGTGCCCAGGAAAGCCCCGCCCCAACTGGGAGCTGGGTTTTGCTACTCTGATGATCACAGATGCTTCCTTGTTTGGTCAGACCCTCCACCCTCTGTAAAGAGGGGGTGAGCGGCCCCCATTCTGGACCTGCCTCCCTCTCCTGCCAGAGGTTCGCAGGGTGGCCTCCTCTGCGGGGGACCATCCTCCCTCAGCCGCAGGACCCACAGGCAGGCTCCTCCCCCGAGCACCTGTGTGCTGGTCCTGGCCCCACACCTGGGGGCTCGGAGGGCTCAGTCAGGCCTGTACATCCTGCAGCCTTGCCTGCCCGGGGCGGGGGCTGCCCGGGCTTGGTGTTTCCTGTTCCAGCAGCACCTGGGCAGGTGGCTGGCCTAGAGCCGCACGCTTCCGGGGCCCACACAAAACTTGCGCTTCCGCCAGCCGTGTGGAACCCGTGGGGCTGTGGCAGGTGCAGGCTGAGCAAACACCACAGTCAGCGCAGCACCGGCCGAGGGCGTGACTTCCCCTGCTTGCAGGTTATTCTGGGGATCCCAGGAGAGGAGGGATGGAGGGGAGGAGAACAGACCCGGGCCACAAGGTGGGAGAGGAGAGGCGCTGTCTCTGGGGCACCTGCAGGGATCCTCATGGCTTCATTTCCCGGTGTGGTGGGGCCCCCAAGTGAATTCCAGACCCCAGTGTTAGAGCATGGGCTTTGGGGCCCGCAGACCTGGGCTCGAATCCCAGCGCTGCCCTTGCCTTAGACAAGGCTCCAGCTGCTCTCACACCAGCCTCCTCATCTGCCAGTAGGAAAGCGAATGACGGGCATCGCGGGTTTAGGGGGCAGGAGAGAGGGCATTCGCGGGACTTGAGCTTGTCACCTAAAACCTAGTGGGACTAACCCAAGGCAGTTCTGGCTACTCCTGCTTCCTGGGTCCAGGCCCCGTCCGAGTGCTGAAGAACCGCTCACAGGAGCCCAAGGCAGACCCTGCAGGGCCGCGAGGGCTGAGGGGGACTGAAGGTCTTGGCCTCCGATGCCTTCCCTGCGAGCTTGCTTATTCCAGAGCCGTTCCCTCAGTCTCAGAAACAAGGCGGCCCAGTCCCCAGAGGCCAGCCCCAGCCTGAGAGGACGCAGGAGGCCTGCCTGGCCCAGGCCGCGGCCTGTGTGCTGGCGCTGGAGTGGGTCAGTGCACAGCACCGAGGGGCCTGGGTTTGCGTGTCGACCTATGAACCAGGAGGTCACGGTTCGATACCCCATCAGGGCACATGCCCAGGTTGTAGGCTCGATCCCCAGTAGGGGTGTGCAGGAGGCAGCCGATCAAAGATTGTCTCTCATTGATGTTTCTATCTCTCTCTCCCTCTCCCTTCCTTTGTCTGAAATATATATATCTGTATATATGTATTAATATATATATTAGTATATATATCTATATATACTAGTATGTATATACTAATATATATATATATATATATATATATATATATATATATATATATATAATTTTTTTTTTTTTTAAGAGGCCTAGGCTTGAGTGACTGAGACTCAGCCACTTGCTGGCTGTGAGGTCCTGGGCCTCCGTTTCCTCATCTGAAACGATAATGATTCCAGTGCGACCTGAGTGTCAGGCTGTAACTGAGGCTGAGGAATCTCGGACACTTGGCTATGGTGCCTGCCTCCACCCCGCCCAGAGCTCTCAGAGGGGAGATACCGGTCGGGAGGCCGCTGGACCATCTGAGCCCCTGGGAGGGATCCCACTTGCTCTCGGCCTGAGAGGTTGCAGCCAATCTCCAGATGGAGAGGGAGGGGGAGGTATGGCCCCGCCAAGCATGCCGGGACAGCTGTGGGGAGGGCGGGAAGGCCGGGACTGACCTCAGCACATCTGGACCTGCTGGCTGGGAGATTATAGGGAGGTGGCTTCTGCCTGGCAGGTGTGGCTCAGTGGTTGAGCATCGGACCAGGAACCAGGAGTCACGGTTTGATCCCCCGTTCAGGACACATACTCTGGTGGTGGGCTCGATCCCAGTAGGGGGCATGTAAGAGGCAGCTGATCAATGATTCTCTCTCATCAGTGTTTCTGTCTCTCCACACCTCTCCTTCCCTCTCTCTAAAATCAATAAAAATATAAAATAAAATTTAAAAAATTACCTTAAAAAAGAGAAAGGAGGTGGCTTCTATGCACAGCCATCGTCTACTCAGGCGTGATTGAAGGGTGTGGGAAGGCCCAGCCCAGACCAAAGTTATGGCAACATCAAACCCTCTTTCGGTCCAGAACCTTACAGCTAACACATGCTTTGTGCGAACACGGATCCACTTTCTCTTCACTACAGCACTAGGGGATGGCTAAAGAGATGCCAGTAAATCCCATTTTTACAGACAATCAAACTGAGTCTCAGAGAGATGAGGGAAACCTACTCATGGACACAGTGGTGAGCGGCAGGCCCAGCACAAACCCAGCCTTGCTGGCAATGTCACTGCCCTAATAAAGCCCGACACCCACGGTGAGGTGAATGTTGCTTCTTCATGGACAAATGCAAGTGCTCTCAGGAGGGTAAACCTTAGCGTGTGGTTAGCCCACACCGCCAGGGAAGGAGGAGGTTAGGGCTTGTGGGGTGAGGAGAAAGCACTTTCACAGAGGCGGAAAGGTGCTCGCTTTGGCAGCACATATACCACTAAAATTGGAACTTTGCAAAGAAGATCAGCATGGCCTCTGCGCAAGGATGACACACAAATTCGTGAAGCGTTCCATATAAAAAAGAGAGAGAGAGAGAGAGAGAGGCAAAAAGGGAAGACAAGCCCTGACCGGTTTAGCTCAGTGGATAGAGCGTCGGCCTGTGGACTAAAGGGTCCCAGGTTCGATTCCGGTCAAGGGCATGTACCTTGGTTTCAGGCACATCCCCAGTGCGGGGTGTGCAGGAGGCAGCTGATTGGATGCTTATCAATGTTTTTAACTCTCTATCCCTCTCCCTTCCTCTCTGTAAAAAAATCAATAAAATATATATATAAAAAAAGAAAAGGGAAGACAACACTTCTACAAATTCCACTGACTTTCTAATTTTCCCCAGAACTGGGTCCTTTAAACCTTGAAACCTCAGGCCAATCCCAGAGGAGAAAGGCGAGAGGGTCCCAAGGAACCACTTATTCACCCAGTCAGCAAAGCTATATACACGTCTGCTTTGCGTAAGACACAGAGGATGCTGAGGTGAGCTAGGCAAACCCTTTCTCTTCGGACACCTGGAGATCTGTCCTGGAAGACAGAAATAAAAATAGGTAAATGACGAGGCAGCTGGGTAACTGCTGAAACAGCTGTGATCTAAGGAAGAGCAACCACTGCTGGAGGGGAGCTGGGTTGGCAAGGTTCTCCTCGCTCGATGACACACCCTTCGTCATACATTTTTCACCCATCCCAGCGCCTCCTAAGTCTTCCAGCCAGAAAGTCCTGCTGGCCTCATGTACCTCCCTCTTGCCCAGCACTGCCCAGGACACCTGGCCACGCCCAGTGATGCCACCCTGTGACCTCAGCAGCCAGGTGAAGGGCTCTGGGGCCTTTATGGAGTCTCTGGCCAATGCTCCCATTATACGGATGAGGAAACTGAGGCCAAGACAGGGGAGATGACTTGCCCAAGATCACCGAGGTGCGGTGGTCCTGCAGGAGATGTCCCCACCACGACACTGGAGGGGGGTGACTGAGGACCCTGTGCTCTGTACGTCCTTGAAGAAGGAAGGTAAAAAGGCATGCGGGGAGACCTGACTCCACCCTGAAGAGAGGACGCTTTGAAGCCAGGGGGAAGAGAGAAGGTAGGGAAAGCACCTGTCAGGACAGGCTCAGATGGTGACAGGGCCCGAAGCTCATGCTAAGACCTCAGTTTCCCTCCACAGATGGACACCCCTGCTGCAGGTGTCTGCTCACTACGAACCTCAGTTTCCCCCTGTGTGCAACAACCCCGGCAGCCTGCCATTCTGAGCTTCCGAGAGCTGCAACCCCCGGAGGCATCGGGAACCGAGGCTTGGGCTTGACTGGGGGCAGGAGGGAGGCTCTGCCCCTCAGACCAGACCAGGCCCTGCTTCGGGGCAGGGGTGGCACCATCGGACACTGACCCTGAGTTACCCTCACTCTTCCCAGGCTCCCCCGGGGCCCTGAGGTAGGGTGGGGTGCTCAACAGGCCTGCTAGGTGAGAACAGGTCTGCGGGAGGTTTAGGAAGGGTGTGGTGGGGAGGGCGTGCCGCTCACACCCCGGTGTGATCACTCCAGGGGGCACGCCTGCCAGCTTCCTCCACGGTGCCAGACGGGGCAGGGCAGCTTCTCGCATCTTAGCAAGGAGCGAGGGGAGTTGGACACCCGCTCCCTCACCACTCACCCAATGCCAGCTCACCAGCCCGGCCCTGGTGGGTGCTGGAAAGGAGGGCCCTGGAGCCAACTCCAACTGCCCAGAGCTGTGAGGACAGGAGTGAGGAACCTGTCCTCACAGGCCCAGCTGGCCAGAAGCCTGGCCTCCCTCGGCTGCCTCCCCCAGAAGGAGCAGGAGCAGACAACTGCCACAGGTGACTCACCACTGAGCCTTCTTGCCAGTCCCACTCCCGGGGCCAGCCCAGGACAGCCCAGCATATCTCCCAAGGGGGCTGGAGACCAGCCTTCCTCATGGCCAACTTCTCTGGGTGTCCAGCCCTGCTCCCCCGCTCTGTGCAACAATCAGGGTCCATGGGGGAGGGGGTTGTGTTTGCAGCAGATTCTGGCAGTCAGAGCAGATGCCTTGGTGAAAGCAGACAAGGCCAGGGGGCCCAGACCTGGCCCGAGGTTTGCTGCCCTGCCCCCAACCCCTCTCCTCCACAAGGCAACACCCATTCTCCCTGAGTCCAGGGATGGAGTGGACATTGTCATTTCTTCATCTCCTTCCATGATAGCACTTGCAGCACTTGTGAGTCATGACCCCTTTGGAGGTCGAACGATCCTTTCTCAGGGGTCGCCTAAATACATCCCGCATATCAGATATTTACATGACGATTCATAACAGTAGCAACATTACAGTTATGAAGTAGCAACGAAAATAATTTTATGGTTGGGGGTCACCACAACATGAGGAAGTGTATTAAAGGGCCGCGGCATTAGGAAGGTTGAGAACCACTGGCTTAGACCCTGCCTCACACTGATTCCCTTCTGAACGACCAAAGATGTGGGGCCCTGGGGAGTTCCAGTCCATTCACTCCCGTGAGATAGAGCTCACGGTTGGAAAGTATTCCCTTTGGCTGAGGTACTCTCCACCTCTGTGGCATCCATTCCCAGCACTTCAAGAACTGCATGTCCCGCCCCATCCCCATCCCCATCTAGAATTCTTCGTTCTGAGCCAGATATGCTCAGCTTTTCCAGTCATTCCTCCTGAGACTGGTTTTAAGACCGTTTGTCAGCTGGCCTGTGTCCTCTGGACACGTTTCCATTGATCCGCATTTCTCTTAAAACACGGTGGGCACGACGCCTCAGCCGAGGCCAGGCCGGCATGGAGAGTGATACCAAGACCTCACGTCCTAGACTCGGGCACCATGTGGATGCGTGAGCTCCGCTGTCTTGCTGGCCTGCTCAGAACTCGGGCTCCGTGAGCATCTCCATTAGCTGCCTCGCCAGGTCCATGTTGGGCGGTATGCACAGGGCACCCCAGCCTGTGCGACTGCTGATCCTTGGAGGCCCTCTGCCTGCCTTGTGGGCAGTTCCCTGGCAGATGACTCCCCGTCGAGGGAGCCGCCCCAAGGATCAGGCCTCTTCATAGGTTTTTACTTGTGGATTCCTTTCAGGGTCTGATGGGAAACCCCATTCTCTTCCTAGAAAAATGTACTCGCAAATGGCAGCAGGACTTTCTGCAGGCCACCCCTGGACCCAGGTTAAGAATTCCCATCTGGAAGCTGATGCCTGAACAATAAACTCGGCGACAGCCTTCTGTTCAAACTATGGGCCCAGGGCAAAGTCAGGAAAATAACCTCCCAGACCAGTGCTGTGCTCAACAGCTCACAAAGCATGTTCACGTACATCACCCCAGAAAGACCCTAGGGTACAGATTTTAACTGAACAAATGAGACATCGAGGTCCAGAGATGTGCAGTGACTTGCCCAAGGTCACACAGCCATCTGGGCAGACTCCTCTACTCACACGGGGCCTCAGCCCAACACAGTGGGGAAGACACAACGGAGGGTCCTCTCCTGCCCCGCCCAGTTGGTTGAGCATTGACCTGTGCACTGAAGGGTTGCCAGTTTGATTCCGGGTTAGGGTACATGCCAGGGTTGTAGGTTGGAGCATGTATTAAAAGCAATTTATTGATGTTTCTCTCTCTCTCTCTCTCTCTCTCTCTCTCTTTCTCTTCCCTCCCTCCCTCCCTCCCTCCCTCCCTCCCTTCCTTCCTCCCTCTAAGTGTGTCCTAGAGTGAGGATTAAAAGAAGAATCAGCTCCCCTTGGCTACTGGGCACACTGGTCCTGGCCTCTGTGATGAGCTGTGCTTCTAGCAGCCTCCTTCTTGGCAAAGGCAGAGAAGGGCTGTGTGTCAGGTTCTGGCTTGTGGGAGGGGAGGGACAAGGGCAGAACCAGGCCTGGAGCCTGAACCTCAGGGAAAGAGGCTCCGGCCTCCACCTCTCCCAAGAGTGCGGACAGCTCTCTGGGCAGGAGCATACCCTGGGGGAACAACATGTGTTTGGGGGCCCGGGGGGTGGGGGTGGGTGAGGGTGGTGGAGGCGGGTGGTGGAAGGGTGGGGGGTGAGGGAGGAGATGAGGGGGAAGGGAGTCAGGATACAGAGCACATCTGAGTGTATGGGTCTAACACAGGCACCAGAACTATTTGAGGTCAGTTTTTAAGTTTCCCCAAAATTCTTATTTCCTAAAACCCCCTCTACTTGACCCAGAGAACTCCTCAGCCTGTGAAGGCGGCCCAGCTCACTCCCTGCAGGAAGCTTTCCCCAGGCCCTGTGGCCCAGGGCCTTGCTCTCTCCACACGGCCTGTGTTCAGACCCACTCGGGCACTGTGTTCAGACCCACTCGGGCACTGTGTTCAGACCCACTCGGGCCTGTGTTCAGACCCACTCGGGCCTGTGTTCAGACCCACACGGCCTGTGTTCAGACCCCACTCAGGCCTGTGTTCAGACCCACTCGGGCCTGTGTTCAGACCCACTCGGGCCTGTGTTCAGACCCACTCGGGCCTGTGTTCAGACCCACTCGGGCCTGTGTTCAGACCCACTCGGGCCTGTGTTCAGACCCCACTCAGGCCTGTGTTCAGACCCCACTCAGGCCTGTGTTCAGACCCCACTCAGGCCTGTGTTCAGACCCACTCGGGCACTGTGTTCAGACCCACTCGGGCCTGTGTTCAGACCCACTCGGGCACTGTGTTCAGACCCACTCGGGCACTGTGTTCAGACCCACTCGGGCACTGTGTTCAGACCCACTCGGGCCTGTGTTCAGACCCACTCGGGCCTGTGTTCAGACCCACTCGGGCCTGTGTTCAGACCCACTCGGCCTGTGTTCAGACCCACTCGGGCCTGTGTTCAGACCCACTCGGGCCTGTGTTCAGACCCACTCGGGCACTGTGTTCAGACCCACTCGGGCCTGTGTTCAGACCCACTCGGGCCTGTGTTCAGACCCACTCGGGCCTGTGTTCAGACCCACTCGGGCACTGTGTTCAGACCCACTCGGGCACTGTGTTCAGACCCACTCGGGCCTGTGTTCAGACCCACTCGGCCTGTGTTCAGACCCACTCAGGCCTGTGTTCAGACCCACTCGGGCAC